AAAAAAAAAAAAAAAGGTTGTGGGGTGTGTGTGTGTGTGTGTGTGTGTGTGTGTGTGTGTGTGTGTATGCATGTGCATGCACCTGTGTGCATGATACCTTTTCTTGAATTGGAAAAGTCCCCCAGGCTTACCTGGATAAACTCTCTAAAAGTATGAAATATACTTACATTCTGGAAATCATTAACTTCAGTTGCTTCTTCAGCTCCACTCCTCATTTTGAAGGTCTCTAAGTTGTTCCCAGGATCTATTTCCATTGACCCATCCTGTAATTTCCCATTGATACTCATGGTGTAATGAACATTGTAAATCTGGAAGTGAACATGACAGTTACTGATGCTTCCTGATTTTGGCAGCTCAAAGATTATCTTTACACTTGTATTTGGATGAGGAGCTTCTATATTTTTCAGAGATAAAATAGAATCATCTTTAATTGTAATCACAGCACTGGGGAGGCTGAAACAAGAGGATCACTATGAGTCCAATCTGCACAGTGAGACCCTGTACCAAATACATAAAATACAAAAAAAGTAATATATTGATACCTGACGACATCACCCATACACCATTTAACATTTAATAATTTCTTAAAAATACCCTCCAACAAAGATTTTGATAGTCTCTAGTACTTATCCAAGTACCTTACTAATTTGCAATCTTGACTGCACATCAGAAGCAGCTGAGTAGATGTTCCAGGTACCATACCTGGGGTTCACCCCAGACTAATCAAAGAAAAACCTGCAAGCATGAGTTTGAGCAATGGTCTTTTTTTTTTTTCTTAAGAATAATTCTATCCTGGAAGTGGGTTGAGAGCCACTGATGGATAAAAGCATATTGGAGAATTATTATCAACTAGCTTTCAGTTGCAGTGGCACTTAAAATGTGATATTCTAAATTCCTTGGTAAAGATGCAGTAATCAGTTTGGCATAGGGTGAAGGCTGCAAAAAAGATCAGGTTTTTCCTACAAATGCAAAGTACTATTTGTAGGATTAATTATGTGCACTTCTGTTATAGTTCAGAAGGGAAATATCTCTCTAAAAGGATGTGTGAACAGTATCTAGGTCAATATGTTATGATGAGACATGTGGCATGTGTACTAGGTAGGAGGCCCAGAGAGCAGTGGCCCAGGAGGCAGGCAAATGCCTGGTTACACCATGTAGTACTGGTGCCTGGAGTTCCTTGCAATGCAAGATGAAACACATGTATGGCCAGGCAGTGGTGGCACAGGCCTGTAATCCCAGCACTAGGAAGCCTGAAAACATGAGGATCACTACAAGTCCAAGCTGTGTAATGAGACCATGTGCAAATGCATAAAAAAATGTTAAAAAATAGACTAAGAATATAGAGAAGTAGTGAATCACATTTTATTGCCAACAATCAAAGTTATTGCTATTTCACACCCAGACCAAATGAAGAAAATCATGGTAATATTTTTTGAAAGTGGAGTCCCCTACATGTCCAGTGCTGCTCCAACATTACTTAGGTCTGAAAACAACCCCCAAAATTCTAAATAGGATATATCTGGCACCACTTAGTCATAGCATATTCATGAATCTGCATTCCCAGAATAAAAATCTGGGACCTATTTTTAGAATTGTCAGTTATTTCATGCTGGTGGGAATTTCTCATATTTCAATGCCTTGTTCCATGTACAACAAAGTGGATGAAAAGTAGCCTCAATATTTGAGTCCAGTTAGTTGTTCCTTGATTATTAGTGCCCCATGCTTCATAGTATTCATAGTCTTCCAGCTAAATTAGAGTAGGCCTGTCCTCAGGGAATTAACCATAAAATAAAGAACTATTTTCCTCATGGTTGGAGGTGTCATAGGCCTGGCTGAGAGGCCAGGACAGTAGAGCAGCATGATTAGGAGCTCCTTGTCCCCTGCCCAGCCCATCATCTCATGAGAATTCCTGCTTTTTGTCTTTGTGTATACTACACTTGTGAACAATATTTGTTAGAAAAAATTTACTAACTAAAACAATTTTTTTGCCACTACTAAGTTAAATGATCCAAAAAGGATTTCTTGCAAGGGAGATAGCTCAGCGGCATACATGCCTGCTTGGCAAACACAAGGTCCACAGTTTGATACCAGGTACTACAAAAGAAAGGGGAAAAAAAATAAATGCAAGAAAGGACTTCCCTGCTTAGACTTCTTATCATTATACTGGTTTAAAAATAATTCATGTGCTACTTCTACACATTTTTGTGTGGGGTGGGGCTATAGGGGGATTTCTCCTTAGATTTTTGGATGTAAAGGTCTATCTGTATCTTTATCTAATTTATGTAGGATATATATATATAAATCTTTGAAGATTTACACATATATGTGTAAGCACACATACATACATCTTCAAAGAGGAAAAAAAATGAGAACTGATGAAAGCTTCTTCCTGCTGTCAGGTCAACCATTCAGAATTGCAAATAGTTACCTTCAATTTAAGTGTGATTTTTCTGTCTCATTCTAAGGAATGACCTCTTTATATGAAACACTGAACAACATA